AGGAAGGGGGGGGGCAGGGGCAGGGGGAGGGTAGAGGTCTGAGTCGCCATTTATCCGGCCGTTTTGCTCGTCCATCGTATTATCGTTGTCGTGAAAACGAGAGAGAAAGAAAAAGAGAGAGTGTTGAGTGTGTATGTGTGTGTGTGAGAAAGAGAGAGAGAGAGAGAAAGAGAGCAACACCGTGAAGACAATAGGCGATGCGCGCGTTTCGAAGAGAGAAATCGTTTCATTTTATCTCTCGTTGCGGAACACCCGTTTTTTTCTCTCTCTCTCTCTCTTTCTTTCTTTTTCTCTCTTTCTCTTTCTATTTTTCTTTTACGCGCGCTCTTGTGTGCAGTATAGCGTGGCGTCGCGCCAAAGTGGAATTTCGGCACCAACCTGTTATCTCCTTCGGTCTCCACCTTCCCCCCTCTCCACTCACTCTCTCTCTCTTTCTTTCTCTATCTATCTCTCTCTCTCTCTCTCTCTCTCTCTCTCTCTCTCTCTCTCTCTCTCTCCTCTCTCTGTCGTCTCCCCTCTCTCTCTCTTTCTCTCTTCNCTCTCTCTCTCTCTCTCTCTCTCTCTCTCTCTCTCTCTCTCTCTCTCTCTCTCTCCTCTCTCTGTCGTCTCCCCTCTCTCTCTCTTTCTCTCTTCCTTCTTTCGTATTACTTTTTTTTTTTCTCCCGTATCATTGTTAGTTATTCATTTATCAGACCATCCATCCACTTATCCATACTCTACGTTATTTAGCTTTGTAGTATGAGAATTATTATTCGTTAGGAACGAATCTCCGGTCGAATAATCAACGTCGTAGTAGTTTCGTGGTCGTCGCTACTCTGCCGGTATAACATCGATCGTTACTGGTGGTTACAGTCAGGATAGTAACGATCTTCTTTCTTTCTATTCATGTTGTGACTTTTAGATGGTGAAGAAAGAGATTTTAGGGTTGGGGGGGGGCTGGTCGGGAATCTATACTTTCTTTTTTTATTTCTCTTTACTCGAATTCTTTTTTTTAAAATCAACGATTTTACAAGAGAGAAATATGCTCTTTCATATTTATATATTTTTAATATATATATACGTGTAGGTTGTAAATTTGTATATCATATTATGTAGAATTATTATTTATTTGGTACCATACAGCAAGATGATATAAGTCCCTATTTTATTCTTTTCTTTTTATCATTCTTCCCTCTCTCTCTTTTTCTCTTTTTCTTTTCCTCCTCTTCCTCCCTCTTTCTTCTTTCTTTTCTCTATTTCTTTCCTATTTTTCTTATCTTTCTCTTTATATATATTTTTTTTCATTTTCTTTGTATTTTTCTCTCTTTTAATATTCACTTGCTAGTTTCTTTTTTTTCTTGCACTCATTGGTCATTTCTCTCTTTATCTCTCTCTCTCTCTTTTAACACTCGCTAGTGATTCTCTCTTTTTCTCAGTACTCGCGCTTGTCACTCTCTCTCTTCTTTATTCTCATTTTCTCTTTCTCTTTCTCTTATCGGAATCGAGCGAGTTCATTGCTCCCGCGAGTTTATTGGTACACGTTCTAGTATTGGTTCAGCAGACTGCGAGCACCGTATTCGCTTATTCTGTCTTTCCTTCCTTTTGTTTCAGACCGACATGAAGGTGTATTGCATTTTCTTTTTCGAAGGATTCAATTAGCATTTTATCCGTCGCGTTAACGTCGATATATATATATATATATATATATGTATAGCGATGAAACGTGAAATTATTATTTGAATATCTCTTGCCATGAAATATTTTATTAATTATAATAAGTATATTATTATACAACACTTACCAACATATTATTAACATTGGATGGAAGTATGAATCTGTAGATTATACAGGTATAGTCTCAATCAAATCGAAATATATATACACTAGCTATGATTTATTTCTTATAATAAGTATATTATTATACAACACTTACCAACATATTATTAACATTGGATGGAAGTATAATTCTCTAGATTATAAATAAGGTATAGTTTCAGATAAATGATATAATTTTCATAAATTTCAAATCTTTTTCGATACGTGATCAATATCGTATTAATTCATCAATACACTGGATATGACTGATAATATGGAATACTACTGGACTGTGCTTGCTTAACAAATGTACATATGACAATATTAACGATAATCAATGTTTTATAATTAGTACCAGGAAAACATTGTTTTCATTAATTCTTGATTTTAGTTCTATTTGTTCAAATACTTTTTTTTTTCTGCCTTCAGCAATTTTTACGTTTGTCAGAAATAAATCATAACTATATATAATATATATANATATATATATATATATATATGTATAGCGATGAAACGTGAAATTATTATTTGAATATCTCTTGCCATGAAATATTTTATTAATTATAATAAGTATATTATTATACAACACTTACCAACATATTATTAACATTGGATGGAAGTATGAATCTGTAGATTATACAGGTATAGTCTCAATCAAATCGAAATATATATACACTAGCTATGATTTATTTCTTATAATAAGTATATTATTATACAACACTTACCAACATATTATTAACATTGGATGGAAGTATAATTCTCTAGATTATAAATAAGGTATAGTTTCAGATAAATGATATAATTTTCATAAATTTCAAATCTTTTTCGATACGTGATCAATATCGTATTAATTCATCAATACACTGGATATGACTGATAATATGGAATACTACTGGACTGTGCTTGCTTAACAAATGTACATATGACAATATTAACGATAATCAATGTTTTATAATTAGTACCAGGAAAACATTGTTTTCATTAATTCTTGATTTTAGTTCTATTTGTTCAAATACTTTTTTTTTTCTGCCTTCAGCAATTTTTACGTTTGTCAGAAATAAATCATAACTATATATAATATATATATATATATATTATATATATATACTTAATATTTATATAATTCGCCATTTGCTTGAAATTATACCAGTATAATCTACAGAATCATACCACCATCCAATGTTAATATTGGCTTGGTAATTATGTGATTGCGAATTTTATCGATAGACAAATAAATCATGTTTAATTCAGTTTTTTTGATTGGAAAGATCAGAAATTTGATGAACGTGGAATTATGACATTGTGCTTGAACGATGGCGAAAGATCGTCGACAAAAATGGATAGTACCACTTAATTGAATAAAGTTATATTTTTCAGCAAACATTTTGAATTTTTCTTCTTATTTAATATCCACAATCATTTAGTTGCCAACCCAATAATATGTTGGTAAAGTGTTCTATAATATACATACTTATTATAATTACTGAAGTATTTCATGGCATATGTGCTGAAATACTTTCGTGAGTCACTGTACGTATTTGTATATATATTTGTGCATCTGTTATGTTTATATTATGTCATAATTGACGACTAGCGTGTGTCTCCTCGTCAATGTATACTCGTTCAATAACGTATTATTAAATACTTATTATTACGCGATCGTGATTTAATCTTCGTTACGATAACAAATTGTTTTTTTTTCGACTGATCTTTATAATCCACTTTTTGTGAAATATTTCTTTTTTTTCCTATTATCCGAAACTTTCCTAATATTGATTTTTTTTTTTTTCTCAAACCTTGCCACGCTTACTACTTTTTGATATTTTTCTCATTAAAGGATAAGTAGATAAACAATGATTATTGATATCATTGTGATTATGATGTTTAGAACACTTTTTAAGGTGTGTACCGATATCGATACGTATGGCGTTATAATAGCTTATTAGTAGAAGAAATGTTTTGTCAATTTTCAATAAACATTTAATAAATATAATATTGCATAGAAGGAAAAAAGATGCGATTATGTAAAGCAAGCAATAATTTCTGATTATAATGACAATAAATCATTGGTGGACATGTTCGATCAAATGGCAGTTTATTATTGTTCGCTTAAAAGAAAAAAAACTTAAAAATGTTATCAGTAGTTAGATTTCGAAATTTTTTCATTTAACGCAGCAATTGTTAATGCCACGGATGTTTTATAATGTAGCTAATTACTTCAATTTCAATTTTGGAATAATAGAAAAAAATTAGGGTTACGTGTTTATTTAATAGAAAAAATAATAACACGAAGATTTATCCACGCTATCGGTTAGAAAATGATATGAATTAAAAAGAGATAATGTTAATCCAGCAAACAGAAACATTATTTTATTTCTTGCAATAAAGAGAATGTAACAAAAATTGTAATAGTGTAATGTTGCACGTGATATTACAAAAAGGGTGACAATATTTAGGGACGATTGTCTTAACAAACTATTCTTATATATAATTCAATTTCATTATTTATGTTTTGTTTGACACGTTTGCCCTATTTTTTCTTTAATAAATTATTATTATTTTTTTTTTTTTTTTTAGAATACTGTAATATTTTCTTTATTAGACTATTAGGGGAGTAGATTGAAAAGAAAATTTTTAATCAAATCTGTTATATGCAAAT